TCTTTCTTCTTTCTTCTTTCTTCTTTCTTTCTTTCTTTCTTTCTTTCTTTCTTTCTTTCTTTCTTTCTTTCTTCTTCTTTCTTTCCTCTCTCTCTCTCTCTCTCTCTCTCTCTCTCTCTCTCTCTCTCTCTCTCTCTGTTTTAACAGGGTCATATAGCTCAGAGTGGCCTTGAACTCCCTGAGGCTGGCTTCAAACTTACAATGATGCTCCTGCCTCAGTATCCGAAGTGCTGGGATTACAGCTGTGTAGCACCATGCCTGCTCTATTCCCTTTAAAAGTGAATCCCAGTTTAGAAACATGTAATGTACATCTGCATGATTATATGGGAATGAGAAAAGCAAGAGCAGGATAGCTTGCACCATATTTACATTGGTGATGACTGATTCTCTGAGGTCAGCTTTGTGGTCTAGGTTTTAACCTTATGAGTTCATATTCCATAACTACTTTTTCCCTAGACAGAAGATACTACAATTCTCCAGTACTTTCCATGTTATCTTTTGTCTTTATCTTGGATCTTCAAATGCATAAGGGCAACTAGATTTTCTATATTGTAAAAAATAAAATCTTCCAAATCTACTACTCATAGCTAGTAATGTAATTGATTTCTTATGAAAGACACTTACCCTACATAGGTAGTAGAAAGAAGGAAAAGGAGGCACATCCCAGGTAAGACCAGGGGCCCAGAAGTCCCCAGCAGAGGTGCACCTACTAGGAAGGTGGGACCAGCAGAGAAAAAAATCCCAAAGCGGTCATGAGTATATGAGCCAGCAGTTGCTAAGTTAGGTGAACCAACACTGTGCTTCAGCATACAAACACAAGGAATAGAAGTGGGTGGGTAGAGCTGCCCTTTTATATTAAAGAGCTAAAGTAAAACTCCAACAAGAGATCATTCCAAGCCCCCACATCTAGAGCCCAGGATCAGCCATACACTGAGCACAAAAATCTGACTGCAAACTTAGCTCAAGTATATCACATTTTTCTAGGATCCAACTTGGATAAACCACAGAATTGTGGACACCAGAGGAATTTTACTACTTTTATTCTTCTCTGTTTGTTGGTTTTCCTCTTTTGCCCAGTTGGATTTTTGTTGTTGTTTTTGTTGTAGCTTGTTTTATGTTGTGTAGTTATATTTTTTCTTTTTTTCCCCCACAATTTAAATTTCTTACCGTTCTTTTTGTTTTATTTCACTCACCTTCTTTCTCTCTTTCCTCAACTGTCTCACTTGATTTTATTGTACTTTCATGTGAGTAAACATTGTCTCTTCTCTTCTAGTTCATTTTAATACTCCTTTGCTTTCTCTTCCATTCTTTTTGTCTTGTGTTCTCTAGTTTCCCAAAGCTTGGGTGATCATCCTTTGCCCTTCAGCATTGCTTCTACTATATTTGACCTCATCTTGTCCCCTATTCATCTTACCCACCCAACAGGGTAAGAATCATTCCACTAAGAGGCAAATCATTGTATAGAAGTTGCTGATATACATTAGATTTTCTTATATAGCTGTAGAATTTGCTCCTAAGATTAAAAGTATTAAGTTAATAATTAATACAGTTTGTCACTAGCCAGGCTGTGCTTGAGACTATTGTTATTGTTAAATATACTACTTTAACGAGGACGTCATACCTGTTATATATCAGTTTTTCTCACGGCTGAGGATGTAGCTCAGAAACATAGGACCTGCCTGGCAAGTGCAAGATCTTGAGTTTGATTCCTGGTTCCCCCCGAAAAAAATCAGTTTTTCTCTGTTGTGTGACAACATTGTGATTTTATGGGGTTATAACCATCATTGTAGTCCAGTACCAAAGGACTGGAAGCTAAACCAAATAGATAGCACCCTTTCATTCTGAATACATAGGGAAGGTAGGTTCTTAGCATAGACACACAGACCAAGAACCACCTACATCTCAAAGAAACAGGCATTTCTTCATTTCTTAGGGAAGCCTTGACACCAGAGGTAAATGTATCTACCATGAGAAATCTATAAGCAGTAACACAGAAAACAAAATAAAATAAAAATAGAAAGCAGAAAATGATAAGATGCAGAAGCAAAATGCAACCCAAGACTTCTAGTTCATCCAGGAAAAAGGCAGAGCACAGTGAGTATAGGAAATTAGAAGTCAACCACTAGAACTTTCTAAAATGATAGGAACAGAAGTGAAAAAACAACTGGCTTTAGAAAAAATTAAACTCTAAAATGATAAAAGAGACTCAGTGCTAGCCCTGGCCCGGTGAGTGTGCAGAAAGCTTCCTGCTACACTGCGCCTGCGGGACCAGTCCCAGCCCAGGCGCAGCGTGGGCTGCACCCTTTCCCACCCCTTGGGCCGCCCCCCACCACTCCGCAGTACCTCCCCCACCCCGCCCGCCAAATAGGAATTTCTGCCGACTTCCAGGAACCCCCAGACCCAGTCCTATCCCAGGTCCGATGAGTGTGTGGAGAGCTTCCTGCTACCCTGCACCTGCGGGACCAGTCCCAGCCCAGGTGCAGCATGGGCCACCCCCCACCACTTGGCAGTACCACCCACACCCCGCCCGCCGAGTAGGAATTTCTGCCGCATTCCAGGAACCCCCAGACCCAGTCCTAGCCCAGGTCCAGTGAGTGTTTGGAGAGCTTCCTGCTACCTTGCGCCAGCGGTACCTGTCCCAGCCCAGGTGCAGCGTGGGCCGGACCCTCTCCCACCCCCTTGGGCTACCCCCCACCACTCCTCAGTACCTCCCTACGCTGCCTGCCGGGTAGGAATTTTGCAGTGTTCTGGGAACCCCGGACCCAGTCTTAGCCCAGGTCCAGTGAGTGTGTGGGAGAGCTTCCTCTTTCCCCTACTTCCCTTGCCCCCTCCATGCACAGCTCAGGCCTGGCATACATGCCTGAGGTGTGACCCTGCAGCTGCAATCCCTGCAGAGAGTGTAGAGGATAGACCCAACCAGCTAGTCCAGGAGCAGAACATCTTGCCCCAGGGGAACAACATATTCACCCTCAAGGGCAGCAGAGGGAAGGAGCTGAGCACAGCAGCCAGACCTAAGCCAGACGCAGCTGGATAAGTCCAAACTCTGTAGAGCTGCACCTGAACTTCAGTATGTGCGAACATTACAACTACAGCAAAGATCTACAACAAAGGGCAGAAAACAATGCTACACAAAATGACGAGAAGGAACAAAATGCAACCTCAGAACCAAAGCCCACCTGTAACAAGTGCAGAGCACACTAACACAGAACAAATTGGAAATCACACAGCTGAAAGCAATGAATCAACAGCTTCTGAAATAAAGAAACAGCTGCAGAAAGATATAGAAAACCTCAGATTGGAAATGAAAAAAAGAAATCCTTGAATTAATAACATCTGCACTAAAGAATCAAATGCAGAAACATATGGAAGCAACCCAGTGCCCACCCAGAACAAGTGCG